GTAGTAGTAGTAGTAGTAGTAGTAGTAGTAGTAGTAGTAGTAGTAGTAGTAGTAGTAGTAGTGAAGTAGTGAACGGTCCATGACTCCATTGGTTTTAAAATCCATCTGGTCCAGTCACCACTTTCCATCTGATAAGTAGTAGGAAAAGTCGGAGAAGTCGGAGTTTCGGAATAGCGGAATAGTCGAGTTGTGGTGGCAAATAGTCAGGGTCTGAGTCTGAGTTGCCCGCCCCTAGCGCGGCACTCCTTTGCCACTCTGTCCAATTTATCCACCAAGGTCTTGGGAAGAGTCTTCTTGCCCATGCCAAACGTCTGAGAAAGCTTGTAGTACCCGTTGATTTTGCTCAAAGTCTGTTCGTCTTTCTGGCTGCAAATCACATCTGCACCTAGTAAAGATAGCGTCACATTGGTCAAGGCACGGCCGGTGGGTTCCTGTTCGGCCAACTCAGCGAGTGAATTGAAGGCCTCTTTAACTTCTCCGGGCCCTGCTTCAAATTCACACTTGAATCCCTTCAACGTGTTGAACATCTCCTCGCAGGAAAGCAAAGCAGCGCAATGACCTTAGCGGAGGCTATCGGTTGGAGGCCGTCACTACTAGATTGCAAAAATCATTCAAGTGCAACCCTCAGCCTTAGCCGCAGTTTGCGCCTTTTCAAACAGATGAGAAAATAAGGCGTGAACGCTCGGCCAAAGCCTTTACAGCATCCCGGTTCTTTTCATCATCCCCCAAGGCCAGGACGCGGTCGACGGCGTCCTCTTCAGTCAATCCAAATCCGCATGGCCAAAATTCAACCTAGCATTATACTATTATTATACAGTAACAGTAATATACTTAGTAAGTAAAGTAATTTAAATTATACCAGCATAGACCCCAAACAGCGTCAAAACGATTCGTTTGGCCAATATTAGTCAAAACACGATTTCTTGGTACGCCCTACCTTCGCCGCAAGAGCAAACTGCTACATCAATGAATTTTTGTCGGCATTGACATCGCTAATTAATTGTTCGGCCACACTCCTCTCCAGTAAACCGGGCCACAGAGACCAGCCACAGAGTTCAGGGGCGCGGCCAAGACAAGGACAAGAGGAGGACAAGACCCGGACACAGAGCCGGGACACCGTGGCCCGGCCACAGAGTTCAGGGGCGCGGCCAAGACAAGGACAAGAGGAGGCAAGGACCAGCCACAGAGCCCAGCCACAGAGGACAAGAGGAGGACAAGGCCTGGACACAGAGCCCAGCCACAGAGGACAAGAGGAGCACAAGGCCTGGACACAGAGCCCAGCCACAGAGTTCAGGGGCGCGGTGAAGAGGAGGACAAGAGGAGGACAAGGCCTGGACACAGAGCCCGGCCAGTGAGTGTGGCCAGCTCTTTTCACGTGCAGAGGCGAGGCGTGATTGCTTGTCAAGGTAATGATTTGATGAGAATGCTCCTTGGCGCGGATGTTTCGTTTCGCTGACTTCACCAGAGTGTTCCCCCCTCCCCCTCTCCCCCCTCCCCCTTCCAAGCAAATGATTTCCGCAACGCACGAGCCGCGACGAATAATCATCGATTGCCGATGGGCACTTGAAGAAGTGCATTGGTCAACCCACATGCCAAGGTGTTGTGGACAGCCAAATGATCGTATCGTATGTACCCCACACCCTTCCACCGCCTTTCCACCCCCATCGCCCTGGTCTCTTCAATCGGAGCAAATGATCTCCGGAAGGATTCTGCTGCGTGAAGCACGACGAGCTATCATCAATCGGCGACGAACACTGTTACCGGTACCTTAATCTTAAATCTTAAACTTATCTTACGCCGCCGGACCTTGTCCAAATCAATCCTGCTACTCACCGCTTTGTTCTCACAGCCCAAAGTTCTAAAGCATCCTTGGGGCGGCGGACCTGGCCGGAGGCCATTGAATAGTATTTCTATAAAGTAAACTACTGTATTCTGTATCCTGTATCTGTATCAGTGTCAGTGACAGTATACAGTATCAGTATCATCCGTATCAGTAGTCAGTATATAATATTATATATACGGTACGAAATACTAAGTAATCTATTTTAGTATAGGACCAAAATCATTCAGTGGTGGTTTCGGTTTTGTACGTTTCGTTTTGCTTGCTTGATC